GATTGTTCTGTTGAGGCTCTTGATTTACCTGCTCTGTGTCATGCTAGTCTTCTATGTCTGTGTTTGAGATGGTTTCTAGGTTGGCTTACTTCGGCTCTAGCTTTTCTTTCTATGCACCATGCCAACCTTCTGATTCAATGATGAGGTCCTGATCGACCCAATTTGAGTCTTGCTCCAGTTGCCTTGTAGTATTCCAGATTTCTATGTCTTGCTTCATACCATGCCAATCTCCTATGTCAAATTCAAAGGTGGCCTGTTGAGATTCTAGGGCAGAACTTTCCCCTTGGTCAAGACTTGTACTAATATTTTCTTGCTTCTAGTTTGTGGGAATCACTTGAATTAAGGTAATAGAATCTTGTTTTAAGTCTAGTTGGTTGGTTTGCATATTATGTTCTTCTTTTTTAACTGGTTCGCTGATATCTATAAGCTTTATGGGCTTGATGAATTGAGTTGGATTGAACGGTTGATCTTCTTCAGTTTTCTGCTGCATCACAATGATAATGTGTATTACCATTTTGGGGGGTTCTTCTCCCGACCTCTGAATCGACTTGAGTTTTGTTAGATCAAAATCCTCATCTTCCTTGGTTGTGTTAACACCTTCATAGATTGGATAGGCCTAATGTACTTGCTAGAATCAAATGGTTGACTCTTTTGTTGCAAGGTGCTGACCTGATGACTTGGTAGGGCATGTTGCTCTTTTGTTGGGCCTTGAGGATTAACTTGATACTTGTCTTCTACGGCTTGGGTTGACTTATCCTCATAGATTGCTTGTTGAGGTTGACTATTTGGTGTTGATGCACTATAGATTGCTGCTTGAGTTTGAAGCTCATTCCCTAGTTGGTCCATCTTGATTTCTAATGATTCAACATCTATGATGTGCTCATTGTCAGATGAGATGTTAGTTGTTTGTGATACCTCAATAGTTAATGCATTATCGGCTATCAGAGAGTCTTCCACTTGGCAACCTGCACAAACTAGGGCTTGAAAAGTAGGATGATAAGTCAGAGTCAACCTGCTAGCATATTCTTTGTTCAAGTTCTTTAAGGCCATTGAAATTTGGCCCTCCTCACTAGGCCTTTTAAGGATTTGGGATGCCTAGGCCCTTCACCTAGTTATGAAGTCTATGAATGATTCTTCTGGTCCTTGCTTGATCAATTATAGTTTATGCCTTGACAATAGAATGTCTATGTTATACGAGTAGTGATTTACAAATGCATCAACTAGACTTGGCCAAGTCTTCACTAGGCTAGGGTCATTGTTCATTAACCAAGTTATGGTAGGTCTAGTTAGGCTCCTTAAGAATGATTAGGTTAGAAGCTCATTAGTTAAGCCCATGGGGCTTAGTATTTGCTGATACATTCTGATATGGGCCCTTGGGCATCCTGTCCCATCATATTTGTCCATATCAGGCCAGTTAAATCCTGGAGGTAGCCTATGTCCAGTAGTCAAGTCAAAGTCTGCTAAGTCTAGGTTTTTGCCTTGCAACTTGCTTAGCCTTTGCTCTATGTGGTTAATCGTTGGTCCAACCCTGGGTCAATTGGGGTCACAAGAAAGAATGTTGCCCCTTGTGTGGAATTTTGGGCTGATGGATGTATTGGAAAAGAGGACTAGGGTGTTTGGGTCTGGATTGGATGGGCCATTGTTGCCCCTTGCATTGAGACTTGGGCTTTATTGCATGAGAAAACAATAATACAAATGCAACAAAACGAGAGATGCAAGACAACAAGAACTAAGTGCAGGTAAAAGATAAATGCAAATAAGTATCAATGCACTAAAATGCCTAATTGGGACTCCTAAGGGTAGTTTCTAGGGCTCTACATGCAAGGGTTTGGGTTTATTTCTATAGGATCCTAAGGGGTATAGGGGAACCCCGGTGAGGTTGGGCTGCCCATATACCTCAAGACAAGTCTTGGGTATGTTGTTGAGGCCTCACCTTGTTTATCCAGAGCCACCAACCTTATTCAAAAGGTGGTTGGATATACCAGAGGTAAGAGAGAAGGGTCCTCTTCTTTCTAGGACTGTTATCCCTAAATAATCATACCTGGGACCGCCTATAGTTGAATCGGAAGAACAAAATGCAATGCAATATCAATGATGTATGTACAACATGTGTGTAGGCCCAAAATTAATTAAATATCCTTGGAACTCAATTTTTGAGTTTGGTCCTCTTAGAAAATCCTTAGCTGAGTCGCCATTTGTGGCTACCCGACTCGTAGGGGGGACGAAAAAATATGGATTATGGATATTGAGTCGCCACCTAAGGGTAGGTGGGGCTCACATCTATTGAAATGAGAGATGTGTCCCTAACGCCTTGCCTCTCTTGTTCGAGTTTGGTTTAATCCATGCCTTTTAATATATGGAGTTACTATTTGGATTAAAATGATTTTGGGCCTTGTTCGTTTATAAATTGGTCACTTATCCAAGTAAATGTTTACAAGGTAATACTTATCCAAGTAAATTCAATTACCCATATTCTTTTGATTTCTAATTAAATAATACAGCTTTTTTACCCATAAAAAGCCAATGTTAAAATGGACAAATTTGTTCTATTATATTTTATAAACTTTTCCTTTAGGTGACAAAGTTATTTATCCACCCGAGAGATGGTACCCGGGTAAATGAAACTAACTTTACCATTGGACTTAGTACTTATTGAAAAAATAACATAGATTTTTGGCTTTGACAACCCTTGAACTTTGTTAAAAGGCCAATTTTGATCCTAAATAATTTAAAGAGCCATTTTCAACCCCAAACTTTGAGAAAAGGCCAACTGTAGGAAAAAACAAACSATGTTTAAAATAGCTTTGAGAGGTTCGTTAGACAATGTTATGTGGCACTGCTAAAGTTTGAAAAAGACCACTTTTGACACCTAAAGTTTTAAAATGGGTCAATTTAATAAAGTAAATTACTTCAGGATCTAATTAAATGACCATAAAGTATAATTAAGTTTTAATTTACTCAATTAATTAATTAATTGACACTAAAGTATTTAATTTATTTAATTAAATTAAATAAATTATACTATTTAAGATAATTAAGTAAATTAAGCAATTAAATGAGTAAATTAAATTAATTAAGGAAACAAAATTAATTAAACAAATGTAATAAAATAAAAAATGACCCTAAAACCATGACGTTTAGCGGCTTGATTATTTGGTGCAAATGGATCACTGTATGACGTTTTGAAAAATAAAAAATCACCCAAAAATCATTTATTGGATCGAATAGTTTAGTGGTTCAATCATTTGGGTTCACCAAGTTAAAAAATTTGATCTTTCAAACTATTCGACCTAAGAATTGATCAATTGTCTAGTTTTATTTTATACCAAGAACTAGTCAGTTGTCCAATTCTATTTTATACTTGGCCCATTTTTTTTTTTTTGAAAAAACATTGACTTGGTTAACAAATTGTTGTCCTGGATGATTAAACTACTAAATTGTTCGTTCTAGTAAACGGTTTTTGAATTATTTTTTATTTTAATTATATTATATTTTTTTTTACTTTTAAAATGTCATGGGTTGATCCATTCTAATTATATTTTTTATTTTTTATTTTTATTAATCTAATTAACTTTGCCTCCTTGATCAATTTAATTAACTAATTTAATTGCTAAACTTACTTAATTATCTTAATTAGTATAATTTATTTAATTTAATTATTAACTTAATTAAATAATTTAAATACTTTAGGGTCATTTAATTAGACCTTAAAGTAATTTACTTAATTAACTTTATTAAATTGGCTCATTTTCAAGGTCAAAAGTGGCCTTTTCCAAAGTGTCACACAAGGTTGTCTAATGGATTTGTCAACATCGTCTACAGTTGGCCTTTTCTCCAAAATCTAAGGTCGAAAAAAACCCTTTAAATTCCTTAGGCTATGTTTTGTTGCAATGCAGATAAATTTGCATTGATGCAAAATTATGGCAATGCAAATGAAGCAAAATTAAGACATAAAACAGAATAAAGTAAAATCTAGAACAATATTAAACAAGAATTTGCAATTTGCATTGCAACCAAACACAGCTTTAGGTTTAATTTGGAAGAAGTGCAAATACAAATATGTGGAGTATAAAACCATGTATTTTGTATGTATTTGTATTGTATATATTTGCATTTATACTCTTTCTACACTGAGCATTAAAGCCAAAATTTGCCTTTTGCAAAGTGTAGGAATTATGGAGAACTAAAAATCCCAAATATAAAATTGGTGATAGGAATGGCAATGGGGCGGATTCGCGGTGGGGATCATATTCCCTGTCCCCACCCCCGATTCAGGATAAATCCTCCATCCCCGACCCCCAATGCGGATGAGTTCCTCGTGGGGACCCGAATCCCTAAAATTATTTTGGATAATAGTATTTTTTTAAAAAACAAATTTACTTAAAATAAATAAAAAATTTAAATTATAAATAATATTTTAAATTATAAAAATTTCAGAATCAGGGGACCTCAACCCCCATCCCCAACCTCGATCAGGGATTCCCCCTCTTGTTTATGAGTAAACGAACACCTTAGACTCCATTTGAAAGGAGTACAAATACAAATATGTAGAGCGTAAAACCTTGTATTTTGTATTATTTTGTATGTATTCTTACTATATTTGTACTCCTTCCCAACTGAGCCTTAAGTGAAAATCAACCTGAAAGGCCGCCCATCACTCCTACAGCTCAATAATATTGTATGGCAATTCCAATTAACTGCATTTAAATGGACAAAAAGAAGCTCAACTCTACAGATTGTGAAGCCTTTCTGTACAACCATATTTCCGGTCGGCACCCATTTAAGGTTGAGTCTACAATTTAAATTCTGGAAGCATAAGATACATGTCAAATTATGGGTGCCAAGCCTGTAACTGGTCTGTGCTCCGTGCTCCGTGGCAATGGGCTCTGTGCCAAGCCTGTACACTGTCTCCACTCAATTTTATTTTTCTTCCATCTCCGGCTATGAGTAGAAACGCAGTATCCTTCTAAATTATTAGTTCTTTCCTGACCCCAGAACCAAAGAGTATAAGACGACAGATTTGCATGTAATTCCCAAGAACATCTGATCCAAGGTTACAAATTGTTAGTGTAAACAGAGGAAAAAAATAACTCCTCCAGCCATTTGCATGGATGAGATCATTTAACATTTTTACTATACAAAGCACTCATTGACTCCAAGTCTAGTGACAACACCAAAGTAAGACAAGCTCTCTCTTCCCTTTCTCTAACAACCAGTCCCCAATAAAATGGTACAAGATCAAGAAGCTGAAAAAGAGAAAAACCAAACCGTAATACTTCAGCTATCTGATTACTAGATAGAAGGGGGAACCACAATTATGTGCCTCAAGGGGTGGGAGACATCCATTCCCCCTGCATGCTTCACAAACTCGACTGGTGAAAATGAAGTTCCATGACATACACAGATGATACTAACTTCAGTTTTTGTGTACCTGTACAAGAACCCAGTAATGGTTTTYCCATTTGGGCCATTCCCTGTCGTGGACACATAGGGCATGTGCGGCATGGGTGAGGCTTGAGGAGGCTGGGGAAGCTTGGGGGGCCTCTTGACATCGACCCTTGCTTCCTTCAATGGATGAGGAGGAGGTGGGTTAGCAGCAGTTGAAATGGGTTTGTTAGTGGGAAGGGGCTCTTTTCCTGAGATGGGTTCTTCCTCAGGTTTCTTGGGGCTGGATGGGGCTGCATTTGAGGAAACCACCTTCGTAATATGATGGGTTGGTTGGTCCACAGCTTGGATTAACCCCACAGGAGGAGAGGAAACTCTTTGTTCAGATTGTCCTTGTTGTTTGCCCACAACTGTAACTTGTGCTCTAGGCTTCTCTGATAGAGAATGACTCGAATGGCTTCTCGTGCCACTGCTGTTCCCTCCTGCAATTGCCACAACTAATTTCTCATCAATACTGTAATCAAGAGGTTGATGCAAGCATTTACATTGTAAACAAATTATAAGAACCACTTTTAAAACTTTTTATGGGTTTATCGATAATAATGACCGACTAATGTTGACGTTTCAGGAAAGACCAATTTGTCTTGATCAACCCAAAACCTTTCGGTTGGAAAAAATATATTCTCTTTTTTACCAATTTGTATGCCTCATTCTTTTTTTTTTTTTTTTAATTCTTGCTCATTATTCTATATAAGAATGAATAGTATTTAGAGCGTTTGATTATAAAATTCTTGTCATAGATTATATAACATAAAAAATAATTATGCCCTTGAAGAAACTACCACCATTTATGTTTACCGGCGGACTATAAACATGAACAGAGCAACATAAAACACTTGTCAGTAACAGAAATTCATTTTCAGGAAAAAGTGTGTGGCTCATAGCAATATTTTTTCGCCTATTTTTACCTGTCCATTTTAGAATTTCAAATGAGAATTGATCCAAACATGTCCTTAATTATCCACCCACACAATCACTGCCTTACTAGCTAGATTGTTTTGCAACCCTACATTCTTCTCTTTAATGGCATGATCCTGCAACTACCCATTTTGATATGATTTTATGTTGTAGATGAACAGTCGGTTGGTGAACTTCTCAACATCGAGGAGTTAAAAGTGTTTATTTTGTTTTGGTATCCAAAGAGTTTGACTTGTATTCAAAGATTTGATTTACACCCCAAGTGAGACAACCGTTAATACGATTTAATAAAATCTCTGTTTTCAGTTGATACATTCATTAAACGAAGTTAATATAATCAACATCTTAACTTGGTTCATTAATCTCAGCATCTCAGCAGATTACAGAGAGCAAACAACAAAATATTACGGCATTATTAAGATAACCCACTGGCCACTTCAGTTAAGAAACGAAGAAAGAAGGAATCAAGCGTTTCAAAGAAGCACAATAACAAATAAACAGAGGGAACTAAAGCTTACCTTGTAGGGAAGTGCTTTGGTAGTCGGAAACCGCAGACGAGCTGCTCCCAGCCGATCCACTGGAGTAAAGAGAGGAGTGTGTCCCATTAGCTACACCACTCTTGCTTCCGTCATGCTCTGAATCACAAATTGGTGGCTGTTTATTTGCATTTTGATTCGTCGGCACCTGAAAAGGATGGAAAACTCGACAAGCCACCGGCTGAATCACATTCTTGTCATTACCAACAGCTGCAATAGGCGGAGCCCAGCAAGGCATCACGTAAGGGAAGGTGAATCCATTAGTAAAAGGCACATACTGCAGATGAGGGAAAGGATATTGCATCGGCACAACAGGAAATGGAGGCGCAGCAAAAGCAGAGGGATTCTGGTTGTGGTTCTGATTCTGTTTCAATGTCTGCTCTTCTGCTTGCTGGTTATCAGATCCGGTACTCTCAAATTTGTATTTCTTACAAGCACGGTCGAATCCAGTTCCTGCATTTTCCATTCCTTCTCGATCCCGAACTCTAGACTGAATCTCCTGCCCTTCCACCCACATCTTCACATCCAAAGAACCGATCCTCATAGGAACGTTCCCATTCACACAACTTCCCCGCCTACCTTTACAGATCCCCTTCTTCTGCTGCTTCTCTTCTCTCTTCTTCCTCGCTTCTTGTCGTCTCAGCGCATGAATCTCCCGCCTCTTCTGTGGATACAGTATATCATCCCCTCCACAGCTCCTTACCTTACCTTCTCCTTCACCTCCACCTCCATCCACCGTTGACGACAAACCAGATCCACTCAGACTCCTCTCCTTCTCTCTAATACTCCCTTCGGCTTCCCCATATTTCACTTCAAAAAGACAAGGAGAAGTTACCTTTTCCTCTGATCTTCTGAAACATCCACCGATCGATAACCCCAAAGTCAGCTCCACCTCGTTCTCTTCCACCTCCACCATCCCACAACTGCTCACCATTAACGACCTCTCTAGATTTCCAGTTATAGCTCCATGATCTCTGAAATCTTGGATGTAATTATCCTGCGCGCAGCAGACCCCTCTCTCCGAGTTTCTTCTTCCCTGTAGCTTCAGATTTTCCAAAGAGAAAGGGAAGGAGGACGGGAGGTACAAGGACTCTAATACCGCTAGGAACGTCGGAAGTTTCGCCACGTGGCATAATTTTTAGAATAAAAACGGGTAGTTAATTGCCACGTAAGAAGTTCCACAAGATTTAGCGGAGAAACTAACCCGGGTTAATCCATTAACGCTAAAATTAAGTGCCGCTAAATTTAGCGGCAATGACGCACGCGGCACGCCTGCCCCTGCATGCATTCGAAAAGCCACGTGCTTCGATTGGACGGCAGATTCTCGAACTACATTAGCTTGACACGTGTTCGGTTTTGCGAGCTTAACAACTGTAAGCTCCTGACATTCTGGCGCGTAGTGCTTCCGATGTGGACGCGTGGCCGAGACGAAGATGTTGACGTGGGTCTCACTTTACTTCTGGGACACTTTACGGGCTTCTGTAGTTTGATAATGCCACGCTGACTATCTCCTTATGCGCCACGTGTAGGAAGAGCACGGTTTAAGATTTTGATATCTGATGTGACGTCTCATCTGACAAGGAGGRTTGGATGACACGTGCTGTGACCGAAGGAAACGCTAAAGAAGATCGACACGTGTAAATCGTATGTCGTGGCAACAACTCAGCACAGGCAAGTTGATGAGCAGCTTTTTGAGGCGTGACGTTGATGTGGTGACGTGGAGGGAGCTGGTTGGTTCAATACACGCAACGAGGGTGGGGTTTGGATAAGCTGCTTATCTCTGCATGTGAGATCTGTCGGGTGGACACGTGGTGATTTGTGAAAGAGGACGAGTGAAGATTCGGATATTGTGGCGCCGCGCTGGCGGGTACAGGGGTTGGGGCCCACTGAGGGTGATTTAATTTTCTCAGAAAGTGACGTCTGCCACTGAACATTAGACAGTTATGGCGGTATATTGATCTGTGGTTGTTCGTGACGATTCTTGCGTTATTTTGAGAGTAGACGTGGAAAGACCAGATCAATCAACCCGTCAATCTTTTTCACAAACAAGAGAAAGATACTGATCGAACATTTGAATTTGATCATAAAATATTCAAAAGGAAAAAGCTGTGTTTATGGCATGAATAGCAAGGATACAGGCTTATCAAGTTTGGATATAAATACGATATATTATAGGTTTGAAAGATATAAATAGGCTTTAATACGTTAGGAAAATTGTTATAAATTTTTTAAATATATTAATAATATTAAGTTTAAGACTGAAATAATCACAATCAAAAAAATATTACAATTAATATAGTTATCATACATTTTTTATTGACTAAATCTATCCTTATTGTTTATATATCGTCTTAAAATATCTTTAAGTTTTTTGACAATTATCTATTGGGTTCGACTATGATATCGAAAAGATATAATATCTGAAAAACAACTGACCAATAAATAGAATCATAAATGTGATAGTGAATCAGGTGTTAATTATCAAAATTCATGGGTGGGTTTTGATTGGTCAAAACTCTTTCCATATTATACCTTTTCCGTATCATAGATTTTACCTTGTCTAAAATCTCCCTTACCGCTAACTTTCCGTTATACTCCATCCACATGTGACATCATGTGACTAATATATTTTTGAAAAATCTTAAAATACCCTTTTGGCATCTTATTAGAAGAACTTTTTAATTCTAATTTCTCCAAAGAGCTCTGGGGTAGAGGTTTCTCAGCAGAGTTTGGCAACTTCGGCGAAAAATCTAATGGTTACTAGAGAAGCCAAACATTGTTTTCGGCAAATACATAAGGGAAACTTTAATGACTCCGGTAACCGTTGTATTTTCCCCCAAATACTGCTCTATGTAATTCTACAGCGCCATCTATTGCAACAGAATATCTAACACTATAATCTACAATTAGGATTCAAATCCGACAAAAAAAGTTCAATATGACTATTTTGGACTGAGATATCTTTTGTCTTTCCATGTAATGCATTGCAAGCTATCAGTTCAGAAAAGGTGAAGAACCATACATTATAGGGATAGACAGGTGGGCGAATTCAAAATAGGACACATTTTAGAGAGTAAAATGAGTTTAGTTGCATGGTGACAAACCCCACAGGTCACTTCCTTCCCATTTTTTTTTTAACTTCCTAGTTTTTTTACTTAGGTTTGTAACTATATGCATATCAAGTGGGTACTAGATTTTATGAATAATAATCAAGTGGTGAAAGATTATTTACCCACTCAAAGGGGGAAAGATGAAAGATATATAATCGGTCTCAGACAAGCCTTATCGAGAAAGGAGTTGAAGAGTCTCTGTCTCTGTCTCTGTCTCTCTCCCCCTCTCTCTCTCTCTCTCCTTGTCATATCAATAGGAACTCGAAGAGTCTTTGTCTCTTGTTAGACACTGTAAACCCTTAGCTCCAATCAAATTGATATGCATATACATTTATTGTAAATAAATAAAAGTACATTATTGTTTCATGTTGATATTGGTATGTTTCTGTGAAATTACCCCTTAAATTGGACACTTATAAGACTCGTGTTAGTTTATAATGTTCTCAGCTGTTGGATAGATTCGGGGAGTTTATCCTGCCAAGGCTAAGACTGATGTGCTACCAAAGAAGTTGGAGCAACTTGTCTCAACTATTCGGGTTAGACCCAAAGCATATGAAGTTTGTGTTTGATCGAAACACTGAACTCAGACCATTTTCCAGTTATGCCCTAGACCTTAGAGATTGATGGGCAAAATTAGAATGTTACACATAACCCCTAGACTTGACTATGGTACTGCATTAGGTGTTGGATTGGACTGTCTTTGATATGCCAATCAGTGAGATCCATTGAAGGTCAAAACTTGGGTATGTTGGGACAGTTTGAGAATTCACTTGAGTGAGTGATCATAGTGATAGGATCGACATCTTTGTTGGACAAAATGAATGATAGGGCTCACAATCTCTCTGATGGAAGCCTAATCTACTAACAATGGATTTCAATTGTGTTTGATATATATAAATGTTTTATGAAAAATGTTTACAAAAAGATTTTAATTCCCGAGATCCATTCGAGCAGAGAGTGTGACATTGTACCTTGTAGCCAGGGGAGAGGTCCTTCCCTGTCGGGCAATATTTGATCATCATGGGCCGAGAGGTTAAGTCTAAGGGACCATTAAGGGTTGATCACTTAATGGGCTTTATCTTTCTTAAATCCATTATCATTGGATCTTCATAGGATGACTGAATTCAATGATCATTTAAGTGTAAATATTGGGCCCATATTGAGCCCATAGTGATATGCTCAGGGGTTCACTGCGCTTAGTAGTGAATTCGGCCAAGCCTTTCCACAGAGGTTGGACAGAACCCATGTGGACTTATGTAAGATTATTATGGGGTCCTACGCCATACAACAGACCTAGGTTGGCCATGTAACACCCTTGGGTCGTAAGCCTTATAGCTAATGGGCCTATGGCCCATAATTAGTATGATTAATTAATCTGTCATGTAACATGGGGTGAATCTTGGTATGGAGCACCTAATCTTATAAGAAGATAAGGTATATCTCATATTAGAGTCCAAATATGATTTAGATCTAGATTATCTCCTAATTAGAGTAGGAGATAGCTTCATAAGAGATTATAAAAGAGGAGGGGGTGGACCAGTACAAGACAACTTCATATTTTTGCAGTTTTTTGTTCTCTTTGCACCCTTTTGTCTCCTAGTTTTTTCCCAGTTCGACCTCAACTATCTATGACTGATATAGATTAGTTTTTCCTCTTATTTTTGCAAGAAAAATTCAGCGGATATCATGCTCAACTTACCTAGTTCGATCCAAGCAGTTGGGTTGCAGTTTTGCTGAAAACTATGTTGCTGAATCAACTTCACTTATACATTGCGCCATCTTCAGTGGAGGCTAGTTTTAGGGCTAATTTGGGCGTGAACTTCCACCTTGGGATCTGCGTTTGTGGTATCCGTACAAGGTATAAAGCTCCCTCTTTGATTAGTTTCAAATCTGGTCCGGTTCAGTGCAAGACCGATCTTGAAAAATGCAGTTTTTCAAAACATAGGGAATTTGATTCCTAAAAGGATTAGGAAATTTATGAAATTTCACCCAACCATTTAGCATGGTTCGACCATCCATATGATGGATCCTAACCCTTCCAACATCTCTCTCTTCTCTGAGAGAGTCTCCATCTCTGGGTTTCTAAAGGTTTTATCACTCTCTTCTCTAAGAGAGTCTCCATCTTGGGGTTGTTCTTGGGTTCTTCTCTTTTTTTCCATTTCAGTCGTTCATTTTCTTTCCACTCTCTCCCTTTCTTCTCCGTTTTTTTCCTTCCCTTCTTCCTTTCCCTCACTTCTCTCTCTTCTTCTTGATTAACTCGATCAAATCCTCCACTCTCTTTCATTTCTTCTCCTTTTTTCCTTTTCCTTGTTTTCTTTTGTTTTTTTTTGCATGGATTTTAGTGCAGGAGGCGGAGTGTTGGGCGGTGGCCTTAATTACTACTTTGATTCACCACTGGTGATTGTTTCCTTATTTTACTTCATTGACACATATTTTCGGGTGGATCCAGTTCTGATGATAACAAATCCGACGATTACAATTTTGGGTGGCTAACGTTCTAGTTGGTTCCATTTTTTGCGACAACAATTCCGACAGTTTCAGTTCCGGGTGGTTAAAGTTCCAATTGATTCCACTCCCAACGATAACAGTTGTGACAGACTTAGTTCCGGTGATTAAAGTTCTAGTTGGTTCCACTTCTGGTGATAACAATTCCGGTGGTTAAACTTCTAGTTGGTTCTAGTTTTAGTGATAACAGTTCCAACGATTATGGTTCTAGACTTTTAAAGTTCTAGTTAGTTCCAGTTCGTTAAAGTTCTGGCGGTTATGATTCCGGATGGTTAAAGTTGTGACGAATCGCTACTGTATATATCCCTCTCTTTTGGTGGTTGGAAATGCACTCATTTATCTCTTCTATTGGTAATTCTACCTCACCTTTTGTTTGTTGTAGAAGTTTCTTCATTTTCTCATTTATCCACTATGAATATTTTGTTCTTTCTAGAGACTTGTATTCTTTCTTGGTACTG